GTCTCCGTGTGACTGATACTCACATCACATGGCTATCGTTGACACCTAATTTGAACAGTGGCTGCTTTGTTTCCCCGATGTATAACTGGTCGCAGTCCTCCTGGCACTTAACAGCATATACAACATTGCTCTGTTTGTGCCAGGGCACCGGATCTTTGGGGTGAACCAGCCTTTGCCGTAATGTGTTTTGGGGTTTGAAAATAATGTTATTCACAGTCTCATAAAATGTCATGCCTACTACCAGGGGCACCACCATAAAAGGGGAGGCCAGGGGGTCAACGGTCACCCCTATAAATTTACCCCTCTTAGTCAGAGAGTCTTTATCCTCCAGAGCCCTGAGCTTTTGTTTGGTGTGGATTTTTAAATTGAATAAACTGACTCTAAAAGTTGAACAGTTGCAGATGTACATTCAGCAATTCCTTAATTTAAATAAAATCCTTACAGTGGCTAATAAAACATTAGCTAGCAGACAAACAAGAYTGACTTCAACAGTTATTTCTAAATTTTATGCATTGCAACCTTAACAGATTTAAACAAAATTTCTCTCAGATTTACTGAATTAAAGCCATTTTTCATTCTAATTAGCTTTGCTCCAAATGTTAATCAGTTGCAGGTTTACATCTAGTAAATAACATTGTAAAGTTTCAGAAAAATGCATCCTGCGGTTCATATTTATATGAAATGTTTTGTTGACATCTAAGTGACATCTAATTGTTATTGCACTCTCTGCAAATTTTGATAAATATTAGTCCAGTAGTTCATGAGATAGACACAGAAAGACATGCAGGCAAAAACATTATGGTTCCCCTTTACCTTTCAGCTGTAGGTGATGCATATAATTTATGAGTGATTCTCAGGACCAGTGTGAATCATGAAACAGACGAGTGAGCTCTAATCACCACAAATCACTAATGATGTTAAATATAATTTATTGTTTATTGTAAAAAACACATTGCAACATGCATTTATTAATAAAAATGATTATGTTAAATTCTTTAAATGTTTCCAAACCTCAGCTTGAGTCAGTTTGTTTCAGCAAAGAAGGAATAATTAGAGCCACAGCGTGTTGCAGGTTTAATTGGACAAAGTTGTTGGGTTGTAGTATGTTTGTTTTCCATTAGAGGGCAGACTTACATTCTTTTTGAGATACAAACTGATTTCAAATAATAAAGTGGAATTTCTATAAAAACCATTACACGTCACTTTTCCATCAAAGCACACAAAGTGCTGTGTTGAGTTAGATAAAATAACTGTAAACTATTATCAATGAAAAAAAAACATAGTGGCTATTTGTGTTGAATCATTTTTGAATCAATAGAGTACAATCAGAATCAGAATACTTTAAAGATCGTCGGGGGTGGGGGTGGGGGACTGCAATTATTACAGCTGCAGCTGTTCAAGTAAGCATTAGAGATAAGGTATAAAGGAAGAAATATTCAAGCACACAAGGAAGAAATAAGKATAAAAACTCTGGAGAACCAGATGAGCATAGAGAACAATGAGCATTCTTTAGCATCTATACAGTTAAAATAGAAAAAACCACAGTGTAAATAGAAAATAACAACAGTGTAAATAGAAAAAAACTGTGTAAATAGAAAAAAACCACAGTGTAAATACAAAATAACAACAGTGTAAATAGAAAAAACACAGTGTAAATAGAAATAACCACAGTGTAAATAAATATCAACAGTGTAAATAGAAAAAAACACAGTGTAAATAGAAATAACCACAGTGTAAATAAATATCAACAGTGTAAATAGAAAAAACCACATTGTAAATAAATATCAACAGTGTAAATACAAAATAACAACAGTGTAAATAGAAATAACCACAGTGTAAATAGAAATAACAACAGTGTAAATAGAAAAAAAACACAGTGTAAATAGAAATAACCACAGTGTAAATAAAAATAACAACAGTGTAAATA